TATATATATATATATATACATATAGATTTTTTTCCAGTTTAAATTGAAATTTTATTTTCAATTTTATTATTCAAAAGGAAGTAGATGGATGCCAGAAAATAAAAAAATATATATTTTTATTTCTTTGGAACCAGAATGCGTTAACACTGAGGGAGATTTTCTAAGAAAATAAATGGCATATTCAACAACACTTCTGAAAACTTGTCAAAAAAATCAAATATAATCTTTTCTCTAAAAAAATACATGAACAGGTAGCTGAAGATTTAAATCTAACATATTATGAAGTTTCAATTTGATTAGTTTCGGTTCGTTAAACTCATTTTAAACTTAATCCAAGCGTTAAACAAGATACGATGACTCAATACAAAAATCTTGCAACCAAACGAAATTATATTAGTAATTTTTTTATTAAAAATTTTATTTGTTTTAATAATTCCAAACGGTTAAAAATTAGAAGATTTTCAGGATTTTTCTTGTACAATAAATTGAATTTTATAAAATCTTAAGAGAAATTGCTACAAAATATATTTTCATCAATACATTTTTTTTTCTTTTATTTTTGATAAACTTTAAAATAATTCCTCCTTTCCTACGGCTAATCTGCCTTATCACCGACACGAAACGAAAAAAAAAATCATTTTAGAAGAAAGCAAAAGAAACTATTAATAATTCATGAATTCCATCCAATTCATTCCTTTCCATGTTAGATGCATAACTGAAACATCTTTAGCAATCCACCCTAATTTACCCTTTGCAGATCTTATCACGTATTGTCTAGTTATGAGACGAAAGAGCTTGTAAGATCAAATGAATATTAAGTAGGAAAATCCAGATTTTTCCAACTAGGACCTTATATTAAACGTCAGTTTTGGTAGGATTCTTAATGAGATATCTTCTTTAGGATGTAAGAAAAATGCCTTTGTCCATATAGTAATTTATTCTCGATTTTTATTTAAATTATAAGAGACAAGTTTGTTCCGAACTAAAACTAAGAAGGGGGAAAAAAGAAGAAAACTAGTTTTATTTAATTGTATAGAAAGCTTTTTGTGTCGAAAAATGTCTCGGGACCGAATAAATGAAAGTAGTTGGTTGTGGTGAAAGTTTTATTGATTGGTTGGTTCTTACCCCACTTGTCTTCTACCTCACAGAGTTCCATCCTTTATTTCTGACTCTGTCGTCTGTGGCACTAGATGATGACTTTTGGTCACTCCTAATCCACTCTCCTACAGTTAATGTCTTTTGGGATTTCATCTGAGATATAACATTGCGATCCAGGCGCGTTTATTTTGATGATAACATCGGTAAGAGGATCTAACGGATCCTATTAATTGACATTTTTGTTTTTGTTTTGTTTCCAGATAATTTCTATAATACTTTCTAGAACCGATGCCCTGTTGTTTACTATTAGCTATAGAATCAATTACTGTACAGAAAACTGAAAATTTCCGCATCAAAAAACAATAGAATTCTCTCCAAATTAACGATTCTTCATCAATTTAAACTGTTGAATTATTTGATAATAAACCATTAAACAGACTTTCCATCAACAAATTTGTGTATGCAGTAATTTAAAGAGAAGAGAAATTCTAATACTGTGCAGAGATGAGCAAACAAAACCAACTTTGACAAACATTTCTTGATTTGCTAAAGAGTGTGCTATTAAAATTGCCTCTCTGCTAACAGGAAAGAAACAACTTTATTTTTTTCCCTGTAATGCAAATAGTATGGCGAATACTGTTTTAATTTAAATGTTAATTCTTAAAATTTATTCATTCAGCATTAAAAGTTACGTATTCTACAACGTTAAATTCTGTTAGATTAACGGCATCACACTATTTAAATCATTGTAAAATAAGTTATTAAGAGAATAATTAAGAAAAGTGATGAGATTGTTAAGTTGTTATATCGATAATTTGATTTAAAAATTCAATTTTTTTTTATTAAAATTACAATAAAATTTTATAGTTTTTTTTGTATATAAATGTAATAAAACTATTCGATTTTTTTTTCTTAGATATGCGAATCGACCCAGATGGTGTTAACTCATTCACTCCTCTGTGCTTTAACCTTATATTTAAAGTCTAAAAAAAAACTAGAAATATAAGAAAAACTTAACTCACCACATCTTCCTTGAAATTTCACTTGAACATTTCGCATTTCTCTGCAAGCAGTTCTTCTCAATTCGCAGACATTTGGATAATCTTTACCATCGGTACCACAAACCGGTCTAGAACCACGACTGTCACCATAAGTGGCACATTTGGCAGGACACACGCACTCTGCAGTCCTACCATCTAGAGATGGTCTACACTGGGCTCCATAGTTGCACTCCTTCTCCTGGCACGGGTCTTTCATATCTGAGGGATATTTGTAACAAGCAAGTGTGGCAGTTGTCAATAATGGCAATACCCATACTAGATACACACAATGCATCTCAAACATGATTATACTAAATTCAACACATTTCTAGAATGATTATAAAACGTATACAATGACATATTAACAAATTCCTATTCAATTATTCATCTTATAACTCGAACATGACTCTAAGGATGACAAGATGGTGGATTGTGAATGCATGCTGCCTTGAACGATCGCTTTCTACAAACAGCGCCTGCGCCTATAAGAACAGCTTTAGATGGCGTGCCAGTGTATAAAATCTCTCACACACACGATATTCTGATGTGGAAGTAATTCGGATTTAACATTTTCCAACTTGAGGAAAATTATCTTTTTCTAAAAATGATTAATTTTATCCAGCACTTCACTCGCTTCTCTCACTTTCTAAATTGCTAATTACGATTGTTAGAAGGTGTATATTTTGTTTTCGGTCGAGTAATAAGTAAAATTAAGCTTTCGATTGATAATTTTTTTTTATTGTTTCTCTGATAAATGATAAAGAGATAAATCGGGATGATGCTCCTCATCCTCCTATTGTATCCGGTTACTACGGTAACGGTAAACACAGTTTCCGTTCTCCAGTGACAGAATTTCAATTATGCAAAAGAGGAATTAATTGATTTACGATTTATCTTAAATTCAAAACACCCCTTACGAAAGATCAACGAAAACAAATTGTTTTAAAAAATTATAAATGATGAATCCCTATCGATACTCTACACTTCAAAAGTAGATTTATAAAAAGCTTAAACGAAATTTGGTTGTAAAAATAGAAGAAAACATAATACAGAAGCATTTAAAAAAGTTAATTAGTTATATTTTAATATAAAATGACTTTGGTGTACGTGTGTGTGTCTGTCGTTTATTGCAAATCGATACAATGAGAAAATTCGTATGGCTTGCATCAATCTACCTGAAAACGTTGATCACATTCAAGGACAGGCAATAAATAACTCAAATAACAATTCGAGAGGTTAAAATCAATAGAACATAAATATTTCAACAGTTCATGGCATCGTAGAAATTGAATGCAGTCAAGTGGTAACTCTGTTTTGTGCATAATATATAAATAAAGAAAAAATCATTGGAAAAAGTTGATAAAAACTCATTTCTTTGAAACTCTTTCGCTTAAAAAAATCAGAAAAAATTTCCTTTTTATTTTTACTTTGATTTTACTGTAGACAATTCCTGTAACAGGACAACTGACTCTCGTGATAATAAATTAAATTGGATGTATTGTATACATATGTATATGTGGAATTCTGTTGCATAACTTTGAAAATTTATAATTTACATCTTTAAGTTATTAATGGAAGATGGTGACAGCGCGACAGCTGCGATGTTATATTAATTAGAATATTTTGAACTTCAATATGAAGCTACGTATTGAAAGATTGATCGAATTCTAGAATGTGTTTTTTTCGATTTTTTCTATAAATTTTTATTTATTTTAAAGTTTCTTGTATATATCTATATGAGTACAAAATTTATTGATATATTAGCAAAATTATAAATTATACATAACAATCTTAGCTCAATATGTTAATCACTTAACTCCATCCTGGATTATTTTAAAAACTATATTATAAATTCCATAGATGCTATGACAGATTCTTCTTCAATACATGGATATTGCTTTAGAAATTTTTATTATTTTCTAAAAAGAATTAATTTAAGTCTAAAAATACATTTTTAATTTAAGGTCCTTCTCTTCGTAATTTTTAAATTTAAATTTTATTAAAACTTTTGTTGAATTTTTTAATTAATAATTCGACTAGTTAATAATTTAAAATTGTAAAATAAATACTAAAATATATGCTTTAGAAATCCTCTTAAGAAAAAAAAATCATCGCAGCATCTTGGATATATTCAGCATCTTATCATATATTGATGTATATAAAAATATTTTCCTCTCATTTAAAATCCATAGAAGTTATTTTATATCAATTCATTCCAAAAAGTGTAGTAAAAAAGTGATTTTTTTGAAGTAAAGTCATGCTCAAATCTTACCACAAGGTCCTGAATGCTGAATGAATATCCTCCTTTGCTGAGTGCAGGAAGCCATTCTGAGTTGACATTCACTGGAGTATGTCACTTTGTCGCTTCCACAGACGGGTGCGAAGATGTCTGTGCATACTTCTTGGCACCTGCAGTATGCCTGCTGACTTTTCTCATCCACTAAACATAACGCTCCGTAGGCGCAATACATCTTTTCACACGGCTCTACATGATAAAATTCGAATAGTTTTTACTCTAAAAAATTTCATTGATTATTTAACTAAAAACTGTTTTAACTTTAACATTTTTACTTAAATTTTAAAGGTTTTAAGAAATTAATTAAATATTTTAATAACTGTGCTTAAAGATTATTAATTTTCGTAGTACATTTCCATCTAACTAGCAACCACTTTCGGGAGTTACGAACGTTAAAGATGTTAATTAAATTCAAATGCTAACAGATAGATCCATTTGTAGCATGTTATTCTGTGTAATAGCGTACAAGAAGCATCGCAAACTGCCTCTCTTTTCCCACAGACAATAATTATACTTTCATCTGTCTCCATGGATACCGATCCGAGTGTGAAGCGCAAGAGCAGTATGAATATACAACCAAGAGAAAACGTTTATACGCGCTTTTATCAAAGCAATTTAATAAAAGATTATCTTTAAATCCTTAAAATAAAATTTTTACAATATAAAAATATATATTTTTTGCATATATTTAAGATAGATTTTGTTTAATGAGCGTAAGAAAATGTTCAGAAAGCATCATCTGTAAATAATCTTAAACTTAGAAAAATCATATTTTTAAAACTTTTAATTAATATGTCGTTGATTTTATTTGATAAAAATTAGAATAAATTTTTTAAAAAAATCTTGTAACTGAGTAAAATTCGATTAGAGAAGCGTGCAATGATAGATAGATGGATAAGACATCACACCAATAATGGAAAAGCACTTCGTCCGTGCGACATGATAGCATAATTCATTATCCTAACCTTCCAATAATTTTCTACCCTCGTGACTCGGATAATTACAGAAATTGTTTACAAACTTCGGTCTCAAGTCATTCATTGATTCTAAATCTTTCTATAAAATTTACTTTTTTTATTTTTCCTCTTTAAAAAAAAATCTTTCCTGACGTTGTATATAATCTGAAATCAATGTCAAGGATCCTTTCATCTTCCGGGATTCTAAGAAAACCGATTGAAAAAAAAAGCCTCGATTTTTTGGTAATTACACTTTTGATATAAATAATTTTTAAAAGATAATATATATAAATATAATTTAAAGTTTACACATGATTATAGAAGAGAGAAAATAAAGAATTTACATGAAAGAATCGTTTGTAAGTTTATGCTAAACTTAAAGTTTGCATAACTCGCCTAGTGGATACAATTAAAATTTTTTTGAAGTTAAATGTGTATTTTTATATAAAAGAAAAAATAATTTTTTATGACCTTCTAGTAATCACGTCCTTTCTATCTTGGTAAAGAGGAAATTTCAAGTTGCTAACGACCTTTAGCTGAAAGTATTCAGCTTTCAACTCCAACCAACTATTAAATTCCTCTACTGATTTACACCTGTCTTTACAGTATTAATGGATACACTAATTCTAGTTCAGTAAAGAAAGAGAAAACCAATTAAGATCACCTTTTCTCTAGGAGAACTCCTAGAAAAATGACGTTTGTTCTTAATTATTAAACAAAAAAAAATTAATATAAATATACCTTCGTGAGCTAATTTTTAACAAAACGTATTTTATAAAGTTGATAAAAATTAAATTTAAGAGTAAATAACTGTTATNTCTAAACTGGTGAATCAACGTTTCAACTTCAATTAAACGTGATACAGTTTTAAATGACTTATTAAAAGAAAAAGAAGAATTTACTTGACAAAATAATTAATGATAATTTCTCGTAATTATGTCAAGTACCCGAGTTTCTCAACTTATCCAATAATCGATTTTTCCTAGTTTCTAGTCACGTGTCCTGCTTTAAAATTAGTCTTGTTAAATTTTTGGTAAAATAGATTAATCGAATCACTTTTAAACACCCCACTCCCTACACTATTCTATATAATAATAATAATAATAAATTTAATGAATTTTACAAATTTATAGAATTGTTTGGAAGAGAATTTGTCGGATGCTGCATCCCCTGATTGATGGAGAGTTAACGTATCTTTTCGTAAAATTTTCTGGAAGTTTGCTTAGGATAACGACCAATTTAATGATTTGTTAGCGTAACGACGAATCTAATGATGCATTGGGATAAAACTATTCTAGAGATTTGTTAGATTCGAAGTTAGAAAAGGATATTCAACACTCTTATGCAGATCCGTAGATGTTGCAACCTTTAACGATATGTAGAGTCGAGAATTGTGTGAAGTCATATGGTATTTTAATCTAATCCTAATCTAAGATTAGAAGTCAAATACGATTAATCTATTAAATTCATTTCAATCTATTAGGATTAGATTAAGAGTAAACTATCTATCCTTAAAGAGAATCCTTTAAAGTTCTGCCGTATCTTAATCTAATGATAATACTAAGTATTAGGATTAGGATAGGTTTTTAGAGAAGATAAAATGGATGCAAATTTTTATTTACGATTAACTTAATTTAAATATTTAATTTAAGAGTCGTATCCTTCTTACTTTAGATTATTCTTTAGATAGGATCTAAAAATTTAATTTAATGAGATTAAAGTTTAAGATTAATAAACCATTCCTAGGAAGAAATTTAAAAATTAGGATTAAATTAAATCCTAAACCCTACAATTAAATACGATTAAGGATTAAGATTTAGAAAACGTCTCTAAGAGGTAATCTAGAATGGGGATTAAGATTAATGATTGGGATTATTAAACAAACCTTTGGGATTAGGATAAGATAAAATAAATCTAAAGATCTAACTTAATCTTAGCATAATCTGAATGATAACATTAAACGAAGATTATAATATCCTAGGATTAGTTTAGAATACGATAAATAATTAAATTTAACCTTAGAATAGATATAAATATTAGATAAACCGATATCTAATTCTGAGCCTCATTTTATTAATCCTAATTCCAAACCCTAAAAAATTTTAATCTTAATTCCAAGCGTTTTTTCATTAATATTTAGCTTGGATTGTAATTTTACTGAAAATATTTTTAAAAAAAAGAGACATTTGTGACAAAATATGCTATATAGTTCTCGAAGAAACTTTAATTCCTTAAGCATCTTTGTAATTATTTCGAGTGCAATTTATCCTCATTGTATACTAATTCTGGAGATCTTCCACTTACTCAACGTGATCTCCAGCATCCTCTCTAACAATCTAGTTTCAATTAGATTGTTAGTTTCGCTCTTCCCGATACGAAATTCACATTGAAACTGCCAAGAATCCTACAACTTGAATCCTTAATCCTGATCCAGTATATCAATTTAAAAGTTTGAATATTTTTTGAACAGAAACAAAAGAATTTACTCATTTTACAGAATGTTGATGCATTTGACTGATTTTATTCATAAATTAATATAACATTTTAACAAAAATGAGCTCTAAAATTTAATTGAAAAATTAAACATTTAAAGCAAGATAAACGTTTCTAACAGAAAGAAAATGTGATGTTCAACATCAAACTTTAACTTCGTTTAAATTCTTTGGTGTGATTAACTACGGATAACTCAGTTAATTTTAAGAAAATTAACTTACTTATTCTATTTTCGTGTGGACAAAAATAATATAAGTAAGTTAAAAATAAGTTAAATTTCATTAATATGAGGATAGGATGAGCAAGGATAAAGGATAAGCTCCATAAAGATTCATTAGTCGAAGCAAGAAAACAATCTACATTCGTGATAATAGGATAAGATAATGCTAAAAAAAGGATTAAAATAAGAGCAATATATCCGTATAAGCATCTATCATAGGATAAGTTCAATCTTTAAGGATCCATTAACCGAGTGAGGAGTTTCAAAAAATCAATATTCGTGCATTCAATCTCCAGGATAAAATGGTTTCAAAGGTTAGTTAATAACTTTTATATTGAACAAAACTAAGGATTTACTTGCATAATACTCCTTAAATGATATATTTTTGGAAGATTATCCTATAAATTTATCTTTCAACGTCTTGAAATCCCTAACTTTTTATGAATATTTAAAGAAGAGTTTTTTTTAAAAAGATCCTACAATTTGGAGACTTACAAATGCAGGATTCTTATAAAATTTAGGATCTTAGATTTTACATCCTGTAAGATAAATGAAGAGATATTTTATAGGAATAAAGGTCTCTATAAGATGTAAATCGTATCAGATGCAGAAGAGGTCTTATAATATATAGATCCTGTATGATATAGTTAGGATAAAGAATTAAATATTGGCTTCGTGTATATATTTCTAAATTTTCTATTCGATTATAAAAGGGAAACAATTTTATAAATACTCGATTTCGAAAAATTACATCAAAAATAATGGCATAAAATAAAAAAATAACAAATAAGTTTAACAGAAATAATGTCGTGAAGAAGAAATTAAACTTTTCTAAAATCCATTAGTGAAATTCTATAAATGACTTTCACTTATCAGTATTCAATAAGCGCAGATAACAGAGTTTTATACACACCTAGACAGACTCACGCAGACAAAAAATCTACAATAAAAGATCTGAAACAATAAACTTTTGCCTTTTTTTTTAATTTCTGTAAACAAATAATTAAAATATTGCGGCAGATGACGTCACAACTTATCTGGAAACACACCTCCAAACACAGGAAAAAGTAGACAATTAATTGTTTGTACGACTCGCTCGTCGACATTAATCGATAAGCAAAACAGTTAGCGGATAATTATACCATTTTCACTAGCTTCTACCCTAAAAGTAAATCGATTATTTAATCACATAAAACATTTTTTCGAATATCAAATAAATTCTTGCACATTACAAAAATTGTAAAGAAAATTTATATACAAAATATATGAAAGAAGAGAGAGAGAAAAATGTTAAATTGTTACTTAACAAAAACGTTTGTTTAACGATTACGTGTTAATGTAAATGTGAAATTTTTCAAAAAACTTTTTAATTCAGCTATTAAAAAAATTATTTCTTTTTGTATTCAATATGTACTGTGCAGTACGTCCGTTTGTCTATTTGCAAACTTTGTTTTTTTAATTAATAAAATTATTGTGTTGAAAGTTTCTAGGAGACTGCGGAATTTTACATTACCTATTCA